TAAGAAATTTCACTGAAAAAAAGAAACTTAAAAGTTGAAAGATTGTGTGGTTTACTTCTACCACACAGCCTCGCTTTCCACTACTAAATTAGATACAGATAACAATAAACCTACCTTTACACGTCATCACTTTGGGCTCAGTAAATTGAAATGAAGATTTATTTCAGTAATGCTGCAAACTAAGTGCCTGAAAACTCTTTAGAATTGCTTTTGTTTCTTATAACAAGAAAGATTTTCACTGTAGTTCTAATAGCTCCAGAGTTTAGCAACTTCCTGATGGATCCTGTCTGTGACTCCGTATGTTTACAGATGTGGATTCAAACAGGAAATTTTAATGCAAAGTTTGTTCTGTGAAAGTATGCATTGTTACGACAAATAGACTTGGCCTTTGCTCTGTAGAGTTTACATGTTCTCCCCGTGTTACCCCAGTTTTTTCTAAAGACATGCACCTACATGTTTTTGTTAATTAGTAGTTGTTAATTAATTAACTGGAGATTTTAAATTGCCCATAGCTGTCAGTAGTTGTTTCTCTGTGTTAGCATGGGCAACCTGTCCAGGGTGTAACCTACTTCCCCCTTAAAGCATGTTTAAGTGTGTGTGTGTGTGTTCAACAGGAATTGCCTCCAGTAGCAAAAACCATCCCGACTAATCATCAGTCAGAGGGGGATGTACAGCTGGGTCAGCAGGAGGAGTTGGCTTACCTTCAGCAGCAATTCCAGCAGCTTTGCAGTGAGGTTGACCATCTAGCAGCAGACATGAAGCACATGAGTGTTACCAACGCTCAGGTAAGCTCACCTAAGATGAACCTGATGGACTGATGGCAGTCAATAGTTACTTTTTTCTCTTTCTCCCGTTTTCATTCATAAATAAGAACTGAATACACTGCAAATATGTCATTTTACTCTAGTCTCTTTCTTCTGAGAGGAAACTGGAGTGTATAGCAGTTTTTCCTACTTATCTGAAATGGTGAAGTCATTATTGACTAAGTTGATTGAATTGTTCCTGTCACAAATGTGTCTTTCATATCTTACTTCATTTTTTTCACTAAAGTATTGCTACTAATGATAGAAAACATTTGGTGAAAGGTTTCAATTAGAGGAACAAGGGACATAAGGCAAAACTTGTAAGTGATTTTTAAAGAGTTGCTCCAAAGAGCTCGTTTGTCACCCTTTATCTTGAATTATGTAATGCCCACTTAGACATTTACGTGTTTTTATTTATTTTTGTTTTTTACTTTATTCTAAGTTGTTTTTCATGTACCTCAGTGCTGTCCCAGCATTTTGGAATAAAAGAAGTGTTTTTCTCAGATTGTCTTCAGTAGGCTTTAAAAGCTGGTGACGTGGGTGATGTAATCACGAGGGCTAAATGCTAGGGGTGCAACGATACTCGTATCGATATTGAACCGTTCGATACAGTGCTTTCGGTTCGGTA